GTGTAACGAACATTGGCCACCTGGAATTAAAAAACACTCCTGCACTATGAAACACAAACCATCACAAAATGTTCTTGACCTTCAATAATAGCATCATAACCCTCCAAACTATTGTCACTGTCTTAATATCTGAAGTTATCCATAGTACCCATAGATGACCTCCAAAACATCACCAGTCTGCCATGATGAGTGGCAGTGAAGCTGACCAAGGCCAATGACAGGAAATTTGCCAGATAATCATCTCGTTTTCTTCACTTGCATCATAGCATAGCACAGTGTTATGAACGAAATAACCCACTTTTTAAATAATTATTTTTAAAAGCACTTTTCTGTGTGTTGAAGAAATTTGAATTCACTTTTGAGTTGAGATCGCTGCAAAGTTACTCAATGCAGGTGACAGGGTGGACACTCACTGACAACATACGAACACACACTAAATATTATGTCTTATTTTAACCAGCATCCACGAGACTGTTCATGAATCTGCACAGCTTTATTTCATTTCTCCTCTTCTTCCCTCTCCTACCATTTCCAGGAAAATCCCTAGTCACAGTATATTTTAAGTGAATGATGGGCAACCCTCTCTCCCCCAAGGCAGACAAAACTAGGCTGGAACAACATATAGCTAGACTGTTAATGAATCGAAACCCCCTCTGAATGATTTACCTCCCAGGAGTTGCTGTGACAATGCGTTCAGAAAGTCTGGGAGAGAGGACACTGCCAGGGGAGGACTCTGCTATCAGCAAGAGAGTGGCTGCAGGTTCTGGTCTAGCACCATTCTCACTCCATTCACGGTAATAAAACCGAGTGGACACACACAGAGAAAGAGATTTTTAATCCACATTGAAATAGTATGCTGAACAGGAGACACTGAGCATGGAAGTGTTAGTAAATTGGAAAAAAAATAAACAACAAACTAACCAACCACAAACAAACGTGGAGTTTAGAGCAAAATACAAATAGGGGGGTAAAATGAGGCACAATACACTTCAGAAGTGTCACACTTTTAGTAAAGGTTGAGAAGTGTCCTGCTACTTATAAACTTAAAAAATCAAGTAGTATTTTACATTTACAAAGCTGGAAAACATATATTTAGTATTACATTATGTGATGGAAAACTTTTAGAAAATACAGGAAAAGAAACAGACACAAGTACTAGTGCGATTCATTCCCAAAGTTTTATACACTTCTTGCTGCAACATTTTTAGGGTGCTAAGTTTTGTGAAGGTTAGACTATATATTTCTCAATATTTTTTTCAAATCCTTTCTTTTTTTCAGTTGTGATAGGAAAAAAAGAAATCTAGAAAAGTTATCTTAAAGCCCTCTACTTGAAGAAAGGCATCTATCAGACATCTCACTGTAATATACAAAAATAAAAGTAAGATATAAGGTAGAGAACAATCACAACTACAAGTTCTGAGCAGACTAAATTAGCCACAGGAGTAGGCACTGCTGCCTCCTCTTTTTTTTTTTTTTAAATATTAGCATGCAAAATTAAGTATCTTAATAAAGTAGGGAGCCTTAAGTGCTGGAGATTATTGAACAGACTTAGGAATGACCAGGGAGCAGACCTCATAGGTGGTAAAGGTGCAGATGGAAATTCCGGTACAGGGGGCATCTCCAAAGTCTGGGTAGCTATGGAGTTTTTATTCAGATTAATACCGGTATCCTGGGCTCCTGCTCCATTAGGTAGATCTGCAGGTACGCTTTACAGATATTTATGATACAGAAGGAAAAAGAAAAAATAAATACATGATTTATGACAGATTATTTCAGGACTGATCAAGAGTGGGACAAATATTTTCCAGTGGCTATGAATTAGCTAAACTACAAATCTGGAAAATCCAGACACATCTTCACTCAGGACAACAAACTGACTCTACAATTTAAGGCCCAAACCAAATCTGTACCTGGTTGCTCAAAAGGAGATGGTTAAAAGCGAACACCTAAAACATACCTGGAAATAGGGTGCCACAGAATTAGAACTAACCAGTTACTAAAACACATAAATAAACTTTCCAGAGAGGCTAGAGTTTGCCTTTCTAAGCTTTAAGTAACTGGATGAAGAGTAGCAATTCACACATTTCAGTGAGGGCTTTCTATTTCCTGTCCTTCCAGCTGCTGAAAAGAAAAATCTATTTTATGCACACAAAAATCCCTAGTGAGTTAACAGTTTAGGGATGAACAATAATAAAAAATCGACAGGGCATTTGTCTTGGACAAGGCCTGCCTGAAAAATTGAGTATTATGAAATTGGGATATTTATCTGTAGATTACTAATGGAAGTTTCTATTTCATTGTTTATCATATTCATCCGCCTGGGTCATCTCTTAAATGTAAGCTTATTTATTTCTATCAAAAACCACTCAGAATATTTTTTTCAAAGATCAGATGTATGCTGGAATCGGACATAAGCTAGTGCATGTTGTTATCCACATGCAAATGGAATAGTAGTCCATTGTTTTGGAAACAAGAACGCAGTCCAAAATTTAATGTCGACAAGTGTTGTGCAATGCGGATATTGGGTGAAGAGATGACATCTTTAAAGCAGTAAATTAAATCAAATTTCACACATTCATAAAACACTTTTGGAACTAGTGATTTGTTACTATGAATTTATACAAAACTAATAATTTTGGTAGCCTCTCTCAAACTATTTCTCATATCCTCAATGGGTAAGCCCTATGATGATGTTTAATTTTAACCAAAACAGAGGCTTCTACACTTTGGATTATTTAGAGGGTCTTTTTCTTCCATTTCTCACTAAAGCAACTCATCCTTCAAAGGGGTAAGAACTTGTAAGATAGATAAACATAACGGTAAGTTAAATAACAATGTGAAGATATTCTCATTACCTACGGACATCTCCAAAACATAAAAATACTTGAAGGTCAAACCATTCTGCCCTTAGGAAGAAAACTTTACAGAGAGTCTAAATGATAACCTTTCATAGTGTTCATAGCATTGATGTCCTCTGAAACTCCCATCTTCCTTTGCCTTCATAAAAAAATTCTTTAAACCCAGCAAAACAATTTTAATACACTACTTCACATCTCTACTTGCAGTACTCTATCAAATGATTATATTGTGGCATATGTGCACTCAGTAACACACTGGGGTTTAGTGACACAGTACTCGCTACCGAGTTACGCGAAGCAGGGGAGGAAATCAAACCAATTGGCACTTCTCAACAAAACAGTCTTTAGTGAAATTATTAAAGTGAATATTTTCCCCTCCTGTCCCTATGGAGTTAACCCGAAAGGTGTGTAAGATGTGATATGCCTTGGTCCATCATTACCAGTGCAAATCTAATTGTACTGTACGCTGTGCATTGTTAGGCATCCACATGGGTGACTGTTAGCGTTAGATAACTTGGATGTTACCTGAAGGCTCCATTTTCTGTTTGGATTTTCCTAAAGATAAAATGACAAATACCATAAGCTAATGCTGTACTGTATAGCAGTATAAACCATCTGAAAAGGAAACAGAAGCTTAAAATGCTTCCAAAGGTCTCTACTCCTTTCAGTTTTCCAAGTTGTACAATAAAAACCCAACCCCCCCAAGTCTGCAGAAGCATTGGCAGCAGACATCAATCTGTTCACAGGACCAATTCCATCAGAAAAGCATGTAGGTCAGCTGCACAAACTACAAGCCAATTGCAATGGTTCTCATTAAGCAATTATGAAAGATTGGGCTTTTACACGCGCTTTCCAATTCACCTTTGAGATCTGAAACGTCTCTGATCTGATAAGCATTGCAAAATCTGAGAGTGAGTTTTGCTTAGTAGAATTCTCACTCCTGTAGCCGCCCCCCCCGGTCAATAATTTTATAGATTTCTGCAAATCTTGTGTTGATTTTGACAACACAAGCACATACCCCACTTTTAACATTTTTAACTCTACTACTGTGATAGTTTTGTACAACTCAGATTGTTTCTGCTACGCAGCAGTGATTTAATTGTTTCTCCTACTATAATCTGTGAAGGTGCAATGAAATTACAGCTTCCTGCATGAGAAGACTATTCAAGGAGTCAGAGAGACTCAAAAGAAAACCAGACAGAGCTAAGATAAAAGCAACTTTTATTAAAATACTCTTCAAGCTTCAGAGAGCATAAATTAATCAATGTGTAGCTACTATAATACATTATTTTACAGGAGAACCATAGGGCCACAAAGCTTTTATAAACACAAGAAAGTCTATGAGCTTCACTCTGTAATAAATAAATACTACCGTCTTATCTTGTTCTTGTTAGAGGATGTATTGAAGCTCTTACAGGTACACAGCCACATTCTGCTCAATTTTTTTTTTAAGTTTTCCACAATATGAACATATTACTAGTCTAAACAGCAGAATATTCATATTGAGCTTGCACTTTGATTCACAACATGGGATTTTTTTTTATTTTTTACTTTATTTTTTATTTGCTTAAAAGCAGTCTGCCTTCTTGCTGTACTTCGTAAAACATTTACAACCACTCTAAAAACTGACCTGCTGAAAATCTAGTGAAATCCAAGACAATTATCCCGGTAAGTACAATAGTTTGAAATAAGTGCATACAGTCCCACTTAGACTTCTTCCACCAGCCCCAAAAATCAAAGTAATAGCATTTCTTATTCTTTTGTTCACAATTTTCTGCTTTCTAACAACCTACAGTAACTCAAACTCAGCAATGCAAAAGACTCCTTTAAGGCAAAAAAAGAACTGCAACAGCCATCTCCTCCCCCACGTTGGGAGATTCAGTCACCCAAGTTGTTCTGTTTTAAACATGTATTTTTTGTCAACTAGTGATCAGCACAAAAACATTTTCATCTCATTTTTTACACATCAGTAGGAAAGTGTTAGAAAAGTATAGAAAAGGCTAGAATTTCTCTTGCGGTAAGGCTAGTGAAATACGTTTTCTTTTTTTTGTTTTCTTTTTTTTTTTTTTTTTTTTTGCAAAGCAGATGGAAAAGAAGAAAGGAAGGAAGTGTTTGTATTTTGCTTTTGCAACTTGGGTAAAATCACTGGACATTAAGAACACGTGCTGAGACTTCATGGTGCCAGTCACGTAATTTTGTATATTTGGGGCTAAAGACGTGCATGGGAACCTTTTCCCTGTGGAAAGAAGCGATAGAAGAAAAATAAGAAAGAAAGAAAGTTTGTCTTAAGCAGTTTCACAAGCGAGCATGCAATCTCCATGCACTATTCCTATCCACACATTGCCTTCCTCTTGTGTCAAAAACTCGGATCCAGTGTTAAGCAAAGTCAGAAAAACTCCCACTGACTGCAAGACCATTAGATTTAACCACTGGTTGGTCCTCATTTTGAGCAAGGCTTATCCCAAAGCAAGGAGACAGCTGACCCTCGTTCGCGGTCCAGAACATTAATACTTTCCAGCTATGCCTTGCAATCTGATCCACACTCGCAACTCAAAAATGCCTGGTTAGATTTAGGAAAAGGAAAACACGTCGACAAGCTGACTGCATACAGAAAACCAGACCAGTCCAAGTTTATCGAAAAGTCTCAGAACTCCTGCACAAACTTTAATACTGGACTGCACCAACAGATTTTAAAAGGTTGATCTATGCAGAGAAAGATCTTGATTTTTACATGCTGAAGTAGAAAGCAAAAAAAGAAGCAACATTTTAAAAACACCTAGATGTCACACAAACACACCAAACACTATCAGTTAAGAATTAAGGCATGCAAAGTATTCAACTAATAAAAATGTAAAACATCAACTCACTTAGACTTCTTTGCAGCTTCATGTTCTGGTTCTTTCACTACAAGAAAACAGAAAATTTTTATTTTTTAAGGCACTGAAGGCACTATACCACCATACACTGAGATTCTCCCCTGTGCCAATGCATTTACCACAGCAGAAAAATCACAATAAGGCTCATTAGGACTCCTTGATTCTAAATAGTCCCCAGTGGAAATCAGATATGTCTATAAACTTCAAGAGCCCCTTTGTCAGCAGGATTGTCAAAAGGTGGCTTTGCCGGTCTCTGCCCTTTCCCTTGGCCCACTCTCCACGTTAGCACCGAGAACGGCGAGTTGAGAAGGAGAAGATGAATGGAAGTTGGGAAGCATTTCTTTTGGATGAACATCCAGTGGGTTTGTATCACGTGAGAATCCAAGTGTCTGTTTGCAGCCAGCCTGTGACCCACCGAGGTCCTAGAGGACTGCACATGGGATAATATAAATCCCCAGCCCTGATTTTAAGTTTGGCAAATCTAGTTGCAGTCACTTTCTTATAGTATTTGTCAACATGATGATTTAATCAGTATTGGATGACATGTTATTTGACCTTTGTGTCTCATATTCTGCCCTTACAAAGATTAATGAAGAGAATACAAAGATAGGCAATGATCCATTAATAGACTAGTGCAACGCAGGGCCACAAAACAATCGGGTAACTCTCCAAGTTCAGAATATTTATCACACATGGACAATAATCCTTATTTGGGGAGATGTTATCATTGGCTTCTAGAGTAATTCTGCCAGAGAATAGATAGCTGATTTAATCAAATCTGCCCCTGGGGAGGGTGTCCGACTTCCTCACTGCCTTTTTTATTGTAGCACTAGCTGTGAAAAGCAGAAGAATGAAATAATCACCTCTACATTAGCTGCCTCAGTCTGAACAACACGACTGAGTTCAAATCTCCTGACGGCACTTCTGATGGCTTTTATACAATCTCAGCCAAGGAATTTATAACTGACAGCATAATATGGAATTGAAGCTTTACCATAAAATTATATGACTGGGAATGACCTGCTCTGCATCATCTGCTCCAGTCCACAGCACATGTAATCACACCATAGCATAAGCAGAGGATGGAAACATGAGCTGGGAATAAACTGAGGACCTATGGATTTATGCTTCTGATTGGTGAAATCATTGCAGATGGCATACCTTTGTATGACTGTCAAAGATTTTCTGCATGCCTGAAAACACATTAAATTTGGACAGGAGTGTCACTATTTTGGTGACACAGAAGGGGAAAGAAACAGCAAACAATTATCTGCCAACATCTTTGGGAGTAAAAATGGAATTTTAAGATTTATCTAGAATGTATTAATATTCAACTCAATCAGAAATAATGTCCAGTGATGTATATGTCCCGAGCTATTTTGCAATTGCAGGAGTTTTTCAAAAAAATTTTCCTAATATAGTCTTCCCAGACTTTTTTCTTTTAAAGAGCTCACCAAAATTCTGCCTACTGGATGTATTACTGAAGAGTGAAAACGCAAGAGATGTGACTGAATCCCTTTCCTATTTCCCCCTGCCCTAAGCTTTTAAAAACACCTATCTATCCAAGCCATTACTTTTATTTTGCTTACACCAAACTACTCACTATGATCAGTGCCGGTGATTTGGGCAAGGATGCGGAAAGAGCGGGACTGGGTGGTGCCCGTCCGGGGATGCCAGTCTTCAGTGTCTTCAATCAGTCGCTTCTTGCTGGCATCGCTGTGGGTGGGTGTGTGGTAAAACTCCGTATAGGTATCCACAACGTGCTTCCGTGGGGGGCTGCATCGAGAAAAGGAGAGAATAGTGAGCAAAAAGCTTCAGAGACCACCTGGGTTGGGGTAGCTAGAAGGACGTGGGCAGAACCGTGACTTTTCACAGCATTTAAAGGCAGCTTCTGTGTTTGGATGCAGATACGCAGAAGAGAGCTCTATAGGCACACCTAAACACAGATTCAGTTCTCTGAATCAAACACAGCTTTGTAATTACTCTAATCCAATCGATTTCCTCGTTTCACTGCTGGAACATTTGAAACAGTAAAAGACAGTATTATCAAGACATTTATGTGTTTAAACCTTTACCGTTTCGGTGGGTTTTTCCTTGGAGATGACAGAGTAAGTCAGCAAGAGAAAGTTTTCCGAGCGTGAACAGGAAAAGGAGAAAAAGAAAACAAGAAATAAAGTCAGAAAGTTGAAACAGAAGTGAAGCTACTTATTCTATTGAATTAGTTTTGTGGGAAAGGGCACTGAAATCCAATTAATAGTGATATTCTCATTCTACTACAAAAACCACAGCACAGAACTCCCGTACTTAAACTCACAGTGATTTCCTTACAGGGACGAGAGGGGAATTTGTTTTGGTGAAGCAGGGTAATCTACCTAGTTCAGATCAGGTGCCCCTCGACAAATTCTCCCCTTGGTTCACAAGAGGCAAAGCGCTAGCTGCGTGCAAGGGCCACCCAGTACACGCCAAGGTTTTTGTGCTTGGCAAAGCCTAGATCAAACCAGGCCATTTGAAAGCATAGGTAGCGATGTTCTGGAGCGTAACGTGGAGATATCGATGCTGGATACCCTCTCAGAGTCAAAGAAGTGGGGCGATGGCTTCATCTGGACCTACATGCTCTTATCAATCCCCGTACTACAGACTTGCAAGAATATAGGATGTTAAAGCTTTGCTTTCAGTAACTGATGTAAAGAACATGTAATGGCACCGATCAGTGTAGGAAAAAAGATTCATACTATATACGCTCCTAAATTCTACATTTGTTATCCCAAAGCATTAATCTTTCAGACCCTTGAAATGTACATTTATTTTTACATAATTTACAGGAGAGTAACTGTACAAAACTACCTCCTAAGACATAACAATTCTAATAATTAAAAAAAAAAAACAACAAAACTTTAAAAGTCACTTTTATACTTCCCCACTGTACTTTTAATGTCTGAAATATCTTCCACCTTTCTTCACCAGAGATATGAATGAGAATGATGTAAATTATTAATTTTCAACAAGTAAGAATTAGGCCCATTCAATGGAATGCATTAGTAAATACTTAAGCTTAAAAGAATACTTAATACTTGAAAGAATGCTGTGAAAGTTATCATACAAAATTATATTAAAAGATTGAATTTATTGACACACAGTATTAGTGAAGTACATGTATCGCATATCAAAATTACTACAAGAGGGAGAGATATAGAAACAGAGACAATGGCATTTCCAGGATGGAGTACAAGAAGTATGGAGAAAAATAAAGTAAAGCATCAGAACAGTTAATAGCAAAAATAAAATCTGAAAATTAAAGCAGTAATTAAAGGTGTGGAACTACATGGAAATGTAATTATTTACATGCAGTTGACTGAATTCTAGAAACTACCACAGTGAAATAAGTAGTCTTTCACATTTGTTGAAAGTGGTATTATAAATAAAATATCCCACTGCCTTCTCTTGTGGATCCTACTGGTCCCTTTAAGGCTTAAAAGTCTACTAGTCATGACTCAGCGAGGCAACAAGGTGGTGCCAGAGACAAAGGAAAACTGACTGAGCCAGGCTCTCCCTTAACTCAGCCTTCAGGCGAGGGGAGAAAAGACAAGCCAGTAAAACCTCAATCATATTTATCATCCCTAATACGTACAAATCACAGTATATGGATGTTACTTTTATTTTTGCTGTATGAATTCAGTATCCGGCCCTTCATTCCACAGTCCTCAAACCGTTTTTGCTTTTATACTGTATTTCACCATTTACTAGTTGTACTACCAACACCAATTAGCCATAGGTACACCGAGAATTTATCAATACACACAACACACAAATGTTTTGTGGAATAAAAAAAAGCTGCAAAATGTAACACTGTGAAAAGCAAGATCACATCATGTCCAATGCAGACAAAACTACACTAAGAAGTTACTAAGAAAAGCTGAAGCTGTTTTGCAAAATTTAAATATAAAACTCTGTGAGAGCTATAATTTTGCAAAACAAGAATACATGCTGGTTATTCCAACAGGAAAAACGACCATAATTCAACTCCAGTGCTGTTCATACTAACTTTGTCACTGTAGTTATCTGCAAGGGAAGAAAAAAAAAAAAAAGTATTTGACATGTTAATACGTTCTTTGCTTCTTGAATTATTACAGGAGTTTCCAAATCCAGGCTCTGGTAAAACCATATATTATGTATGTCAAACTTACAATCATCAAGAGAACCTACAAGAGAAAAATTTAGCCCAGCTGAGCTTAAACTGAGTGAAGTCTGCGGATATCTTACCTGTTTTAAGCAGCAGGCACGTTTTCATGCAAGAGTTGGCAAGAAGGTTTGATAAAAATGTAACTGCACGCAGCCTAGTGAAGGCAAATCGCTTTCTTTCTAAGCCAGGACTAAACAAGGGAAACAAAACTTCCTTCCCCATCCTAAAGTAAAGGCAAATAGTTTGTATCCTGAATGTGGGAGGAAATTCTAAGTACGACACGGTGCATGTCTGAAGAACTGCATTTGCTCAGCAGCGCTGCCTATCAACAAGATACAAGTTGCCTTTTTTCTTTTTTTCTTTTGAGAAAATAAATAATACAAAGCACAGAAGCAAAATGGAATCTAACTTCCATGTTTCTGATATTTCATAAATGTCATTGATTCCATGTTAAATGGGGAGACAGTTAAGCATCACTGTAGAAATGTAATTTTTCTAAGTAAAACTAAGTAAGTAGTGTAGTGGCAGAGCAATATAATCAACTTTAGGGGCTTTTGTTTGCTTGGTTTTGTTTTCTGCCTCAGGACTGCAAGATAGTTAGACAGCCCAACACACTATTACAAGAAAGATGGCAAAAAAAGTAGATTTTTACAGCTCTTAGTGTTTTCAAACTTTCCCAAAATCCATCTACAAGGCTGGCAGCAAGACAGGGATTTCTTCGTCTCTCAGCTGTGCTGCTCTTCAGTCGGTATTATCCATCCCCTAACTGTAAGGCAGGGCATGTAACAGCGCTCACCCAGTCATCCTATCTTGATTGTCAAGCGATTACTCTACCCCTGCAGCATGTCCTTCCAGGAGACTGGAATTGGTTTTTTTTGCTCTTTGTTGCTATTGTTCCTCTTTTTCAGTACTAATTGCTGCTTTTGAATAGTCCTTACACAGTTATTTCCTAAATGAGCATTCCTGGAATGATAAGAGATGGTTTGTCAAAGTGTATTCAGCAAGTCTACCAGCACCAAGCAAGACCTTGGGATCTCCTGATTTCATCCCACTTCCATGCAGCGGGGACTCCTGCCACCAGCTGTTTAAGAAAGAGCTGGAAGTTACCATGACAACGATATGATATAAAATGCATATGGACTGCATTATATGAGTCCACATATGGAAAATATTCATATTGCAATAAAAAGGGAATAGGTACCTAAAGAAGATTTTTTTTCCCCCATGAGCAGCTCAACTGAAACTGCAATTTATTCTATATTTCAGTGGATGTGGATGTTTACCTTTCTGTAGGGTCCTTCACATACTTTACATACTAAGAGAATACCAGAGAGAGGCACTAGGCCTACTCCTCCAGCCCCTTTCCTTTGAGGGATGGGAAATTTTTTTAGGTTTTCAGCACAGGTTTTACGTTCTTAAGATGGAAGAGAAACCTACAGTTCCCCTCCTGCCTTTTTTATGACTTAATTCAATCCACCAGACACTGCTGCTGGGCACGGAGGCCAACTGGCATGGGACCGCTCACGCCCAGCCTCCTCCTCCTCCTCCTCTCCCCACAGCACAGCAACCACTGAGAACCAGTCCCTGGGGTGCTGGAGCTCCAAAGTCCTGCTCAGGAATTTCTGGGAGAGCCCGAGGCAGCCCCAGGCAAAAGCTTGCTGCGAACCAGGCCAGCAGTGCAGGTCTGAGTGTCCAAGATTGCTGCTGGGCTCAGTTTAATTTACTAATCTACTGTTTACTAGTCTAGATGCTACATCAGATATAGTATAAGCCTTTTTACGCAGCCTTACAGTCTCTTCAACGTTAGGCTTCCAATATCCACTTTAACATAAACAACTATTTGAGAACAAAAATTACTCAAATTTTAAATCTGTGTTCCTTTTTTAGGGTAAAGTTAACATTTAAAGCTGAGGTATTTACATTATAATGCTAGAAAAAATCTGCTCAACCCTGCCAGCTTCCTTGAATGCATCTTAAAGTTTCTCGTTTGTTGTGAAGAGAAGTAATGTGACATCTGTCCTTTCGCCTCCCTTCTGGGACCTTTCTTCACTGATCTTGCCAGGGCTACAGTTGATCTTTGAGAGCATCTCATTCCGGGCCATCACAGCACCTACTCACCCTTCTTGACAGACTGCTCTGCATTTATGAGTGCCTGCTGCTTTCAGTCACCGTATCGGGAGTCAAAATACACAGTGAGACATAGATATCAAAATTAATACCGGGCTTGTTGTAAGGTCCAGAACACATCATGATACAATGCATTGTGTAAAGCATTTTGTGGTCCTGATTCAATTTAGCTGTGACACTCTATAAACCAGTATGTCACTCCTGAGAAAAATCATCACTGAAAGTCTGGCTTGGCCCTTTGAAGCATCCCTTTTAAGATGCGAGTCCTTCCTCAGAGATCCGCGTCTGAGGATTAAACAACTCCTCCAAGCTGTGTTTTACTTATCCCTTAAACAAGCCCAGCTTTTTTCCTGTGAGGAAAGACCCTCACAGCAAAAAAAAAAATCCCACCTACCCATTTTGCTGTTTACTCTCCCCCTGGGTTTCTCTGAATCCTCGTCGTGGCCCCTCGGCTACATCCTGGGTGCCGTCGCCGGCAGAGGCGCTCGGGGCGGCATTGTGCGTGGCGGGCTGCCGTGGGACATTAACTGCAGGTTTAGCAGCGCTCGGCGCAGGCGACCGCTGCTCAGCGTTAGGCTTGGCTTTAACATGCAGTCCAGGCGCAGCAAACGGGGCCGGGGCGGCAGTCACCAAGGACGGAGCCGCCGCCTGGGCTGGGGTGAAGGCGGAGGACGGTGATGGGATGGAGGTGACTTTGGAGGAGGTTACGGCTCCAAATGGCCTTGGTGTCTTATTGTAAGCCACGCTCGCCGTGGCAGTGACTTTAGGTGCAACAGCAGAGGCAATGGGCACAGGCTTAACTACTTCTGCAGGTTCTCCCTATGCGAGATGAAAAACAAAAAAGAAACACACAAAACCACGCCAAACGCATGCACATTCCTCAGCAGGGATTTTTGCTGCTCTCAGAGGAGCTAACCTGCCTAGCGTAAAACGAAGAAGCACAGAAGCAAGCTTTACTGAGACTGCAAGCCATGAAACGTATGGAAAAAACCCGAGCCATGCGTTTTAGGAAAGGGAATGATCCAAGCATGCACAATCAATATGAAATCCCACAATGCTA